TGTTGTTCCCCAGATGATATGTTTTCTGCCATTTGCATATATTGCTTTGAACTAACAACTTCTTTTTACAGAATTTTGGTGAATACAAAATGTGGCTGGCAGCAGAAAATGGGATGTTTTTACGTCTTACAGCAGGAGAGTGGATGACAACAATGCCAGAAAATCTGAATATGGATTGGGTTGACAGTGTCAAGGTTTATAACATTAATTAGTATGTGAAAACTAAGTTTCTATGTAAACTTCTATCCACACACTAAGCCATTGATGGATTTCATAATTTCAGCATGTTTTTGAGTATTTTACTGAAAGGACACCAAGATCACATTTTGAGGTCCGTGAAACATCAATTGTATGGAACTATAAGTATGCAGGTATTTGATAATTTCATGTTCTTTTTAATTTTACATTTTGATATAGAAAAATCAATGACACTTGCTGATATTGTTTCAAGGATTTATTCATTTATTTTCTGGAATACTTTACCTTCAATTAGACCTAGAGTTTGGAAGGCTTCAAGCTAGGGATATGTTGCAGCATCTATGGTCAGGCCCAATCTCAAATGCATCTGTTGATGTTGTTCAAGGTGGCCGATCTGTCGAGGTCCGGGCTGTTGGTGTTACAAAGGTACATGCACTTGATCTAGCTGCAAGTTTTACATGCTTTTTCTGTTACAATTAGAATCACACTTGGATTTCTTTCACACTTATCATTTAATCATCAGGGTGCAGCAATTGATCGTATCCTAGGAGAAATAGTTCATAACACAGGCATGAAGGCACCTATTGATTATGTGCTGTGCATTGGACACTTTCTACAGAAGGTGTGTTTTTCTTGGCTTAAACTTTTAGTAGTTCTGCCCATTGTAAATATTATTTCAATGAAGGTTTTAGAAGAAAACAGGCTTGGACTGCATCTTTTCTTATCCTGCATTTCTTTAACTATTACATATACATTTTTTAAGACACTAGAAGCGGTTCTTTATCTGGTCATGGACTTGCAAGATTCAGATTTTCCTTTATAGTTGTCTAATACTCGAGGTGTACCTTTATGTTGGACACTGAATTTTGGTGGAGTTAGTTAAACATGATCTTGAAAGAGATGCACTGGTTTCATTGTGTTCTAGTTAGACTAAATTCGAAAGTAAGTCCAAAGCCACAGGAACGTGCCCAGACACAATAGATTATTGATTATAAACCTGAAAATCTAAACAGTTGTATTTTACTTTGTTGATTCAGGATGAAGATGTCTATACATTTTTTGAGCCAGAGCTTCCTTTCGAATCACCTCCTGTAACAAGACTCAAGGTGGCTGATCATTTCAGGACATCAGTTTCACAGTTACCAACGGGTGGAAGTGAGTCCAAGGTTCATTTTAAGAAGCAACGGTCCTTGTCTTCCATAGAAAGAAAAGTCACGAATTACTTGGCCGGTGGTATTTGGCGGCCTACCAAGCATGATAGAATGATAGTGAATGAAGGTTCTTCGGTACTTGACCTCAAGGGTGACAATTACTTCTCTTGTGCCGTTTCAAGGAAGCGATCACATGCAAGATATTTGCTTGGATCGTCTAGTGACGTCGTCTTACTTTTAAAGGAGCTGGCAGATTGTTTACTAACTAGGTGAATGCAGAAGATTTGAGCACCGTAGTGATTGTGTAGCAGTTGCAAGATTGTTCGCAAACAACATACTAAATTTTTGTTCCCAGTCCACTATTTTACACACACCAATCTGTTCTCCAAAATAAGCTGTGAGCCTCTCTTTTTGGATGTGTTTCAAGCATTGGCATCACTTGTAAGTATTGCATATTACATTCATATTTGGAGGGGAAAAGAAAATAAGAAAAAGATTATTTCATTTTACTAACTGTTGCAAATTGGTGTTTTCTCTTCCTTGTTGCCAAAGCTAGGTCTATGTATACAAAATATGTAGTTGTCCTATAATTGACATATTATTCATGTTCATTTAATGAATTGGTTTTTATCTTTAATCTCCTCGATTATTTTGACTCACATCATATTAAGAGTTTGTTTGATCTTGCTACATCTCGATTGGATTAAAGAAAGAATTGATGGACAGAGTTAATGATATGATTTGAAGAGTTTTAAGCTTGTGAAGACCAAAGACTCGGAGAAGATAAAGTGATTCCCTTAATGCGTGGGATGGGATGATTGGTGACTATTGACTATCTATAACTTAATGGAAAATATTTTTAGAGCAAACGCCATATTCCCATCCGATGTTTAGCAAAATTTTAAGTCGATATCTTTGATTCTATTTATTCTAAATTCTCACTTTTAAGTAACGTCGTTTCTTTTATTTTAACATATTTTCAACTTTTCACTGTAATACAACATATGTTGGCAATTTGGCATGCAAAAGTACGTTGACGCTTTTTTTGATAGAAGACAAACTTATATTAACAAAAAATGACTCTATTATTAGCGTTCAAACTGATACTTTTTGGCTTTTTTCGGCCAATTCCAAAGTCCAAAATCACTTTCAAAACTACCGTTGGACTCCCCATAACATCCTCTACAAAACTCACACCTTTACTTGTCGACCCTATTCACTGTTTTCAACAATATTAGTTTAAGGTTGTAAATCTATAATAAATGCAACAATGATATCAACTTAGGATTTCGCCAAAGCTTGGGTGAGAATATGCCTCTTATTTTTATCTATAACCTCAATTATCCATCTCTGGCAAAGTGTTAATTGCTAAGCTTAATGGCACTGCCGTGGTTAACAGGACAGTCACTCTTGTCGATGTGTACATATTTAATGCAAAACCAAAACCACCAAAAGGAGTGTTTGGTTACCGCATCTCCGAGTGTTTTGAGCTTCAACCATGTTGGCGACAAATTGAGCTTCACCATTACAGTAAGAGTAAAAGGTGGAATGGCAAGCATCTCAAAACTCAGTATGGCTTTGGGTCGTACAGTTGGATGAATGTGATTTACACACTGTTACAAGTCCCATGGCCATAGCTATTGCATAATTTTTGTTTTGTTTTTCATTATTTTCAGTAATTATGCAGATTTCAGAAGCATATAGAAGAAAAAAAAATATATGGAACCTATTCATAGTTTGGTCTTAATTTGCTCAAGCTCATTAAAGGAACATAAATGACTTCCAAATCAAAATTCCATCTCTATATAAATTCTGTATAACTTTTCCGGAATTTGTTACTTGCAAGATAAATATACCCTTTTATCTCTTTTATTATCCCTTTAGAACGTTATAAAATAAATATAAAAGGACTTTTTTTTTTAAATGACTATTTCATATTAACCAAACTGGGTGATCTGATAGTAAAATAGCAAAGAATGATCTAATATGATCTTCCAAGTTCAGTCTCCTTGATGGAAAGAGCAAAAGAATGATCTATATAGTTTTCCGGTTCGAGTTCCACGACCCCTAATAAAGTAGCTACTAGAGCTTTTATCCGACCTCTAATTTCGGGATCCTGAGGATTAGTTAAGATACACACGAACTAACCCGAACACCCATACATAAAATATATATATATATATATATCACGAACTAACCCGAACACCCATAATCATAAAAAATTAATATATATATATTTCATATTTTTACACATAAAATCCACCTCAATTCACACCCAATCTCCTAAAGTTCAAATGCATGCAAAACAAAGTTCTGTTTTGTAATATTAGAGTTTAAATTAAAAATCATACATTTTTTATTAATACAAATTAGAGCTTAAATATAATTTAACAATCATAACTAGTAAAGATGTTCTTATTATTTTATTTTTTATTTTTTAGATATGATATTGGCCACCTCTTTGGTATAACTTGAATTCAAGACCGGATTCGACCACAATGTGTGTTTGATATTCAATTTTAATAACCAGAACAAAAAGAAGTTACGTAACAATACTACAGTAACAATACTACTATAATTTTTTTTCTAAAAGAAATCATGGATCACAATGGGAAATTTTTCAGTTTTGTTTTTTTTTGCATTTCGGTATGCAAAATTTTTCTTTAATCTCAAATATAATACGCATGATCATACAAGTTAATTCACCCTTACGATTACAACCATGAGGTGTCTTTGCATATCTTCTGTGTCTTCTCCCTCTGTTAGTCTTATGTGCTGATCAAAACAGGTTATTTCACTCACATTCTATTGCATCTCTTTAGTTCATTTTGAGAAAAAGAATTTTAATGAATGTTATTCATATGAAATAATAATATGATTTGATCAATCACAGTCTATATAGTGCGCATTCGTGCAACAAATCATTGCATGAATAAGGACACCCACCACCATATTTGCCTCTGTAAAAACGACGAGGGAGAAGCTAAGGCTTCTCGTCTTTACAGTTTACAAATACAGCTTCAATGGCTTCGGCGCAGAGCTCACCCCTGACGAGCTTCCAAGCTTTCGGGTAAACAAAACCAGACCATCATCTTTCTCAAAGCTCTTAGTTTGAACTCATATATAACAAGTATGTTTAATTATATTGGACAGAAATTGAAGGAGTGGCATCAGTGTATAAAAGCGACCCACAGAAGTACAAGTTGCTGACTACAAGATCATGGGAATTCGTAGGCTTACCCGATGATGGTGTTGATCCAATCCCAAATAAGAAAAACATCTTAAACAAAACCGATTATGGCCAAGATATCATAGTTGGGTCGTGGATACTGGTACGTAAAAAAAATAACATCAACATATATTTACAAGAAAGTCTATAATATTAAGGTGTTATTTTCATTATTATTATTATTATTGGTAAGCATAAACAAAGGAATCATAAAAACACAAAAGACATACCTTGGGTTAAGAACAAAAACACAAACTTAAAAGACTGAATTTAATCTCTTCTTATTTATCTGTCTTAAATATACAAATGATAAGAGACAAGAGGAGAAGAGCAAGCAAAAGAACACAAATGCAAAGACATCCTACCACAAGACATACTCAGGGATAAGATCCAAAAAAAAAAAAACCTAAATAAGATTAAGAATGATTATACACAACATCATTCCTAGGGCTATTCACGAGCTGAGCCGAGCTTGTTGGTCACATGTTGGTGTTATTAAAAACCCATGTTCGTCACATGTTGGTGTTATTGCAAAGTTATTGCTAACGTAGTATTACAAAGACAGTGCATGCATATCAAACACAATTCATTTAAAGATACAAAAGAGAAAAAATTCATAAATTCATTAAAGGGTTGTCATTTCCAATAATATTCTGATTTTTTTCTATACTTACAAACAACTACTTATCGTCTTTGTTTTCATATGATATTTCCTCATTTGACTCGGATCCCTGCTTAGTTTTCTCGGAAACTTGATAATGTTGATTTTTTATTAGGTATATGGCCAGAATCAAAGAGTTTTAGTGACCAAGACATGAAACCCGGTTCACCATCATGGGGAGGAGTCTGTCAAGCTGGCATTTACTATGACAGATTCCACTGTAATAAGTGAGTGATTTTTCTTCACTTTCCATGATAATCTGTAATTATATAACCTTTTATTTCTATAAGATCTTGTATTAACTGTTAACACAGTGATTACATTTCAATGAATTAGCTTAAATCCGTCATGATTATAATTAATCTTGAATTACTCTATTAACGTTTTATAGCAAGATCATTGGAGCAAGGTACTACTTGAAAGGTTATGAGAAACACTACGGGCGCCTCAACGAGACGTTGGAATCCCGTTCGCCACGTGACATGATTGGCCATGGCACTCACACAGCGTCCACAGTGGCCGGCCGCCAAGTTGTGAATGCTTCTCTAATAGGGTTAGCAGGTGGCACAGCCACCGGCGGGGCGCCATTGGCCCGCCTAGCCATCTATAAAGTATGTTGGTTAGTCCCTAACAGAGAGAATTCCGAGGAGAATGCTTGTTTTGAGGAAGATATACTAGCAGCCATAGATGATGCCATTGGTGATAAAGTTGACGTGCTGAGTATCTCCCTTGGCCTTGGGAGTTCACAACCTCTTCCTATAGAGAAAGATCCTATAGCAATTGGAGCTTTAATGGCGGTGAAAAACAATATTGTTGTCGCATGTGCAGCTGGAAATGCAGGTCCAGCCTGGGAAACAGTGTCCAATTACCACCCGTGGGTTATAACAGTTGCTGCTAGCTCCATCGATCGTGATTTTCTTCGGGCTGTTATTCTGGCAAATGGCGTCGCAGTTATAGTAAAGAATTTAAATTATTTTTAACGTGTTGCGATTGCTTGATTTCTTGTTCATGGTTGTGTTTGTTTTAATTTTTCTTTTCTTTTGGAACGAATTAATTTTAGGGACGAACAGCCACTCCTAATTACGAGCTTGATGATCAAAATAGAACACTAGTATATGCAGCAGATGTGGTTGTTCCCGGAGTTGACAAGAATTTAGCAGCGTAATTTTTACACCTACTTNCATTGGCCCGCCTAGCCATCTATAAAGTATGTTGGTTAGTCCCTAACAGAGAGAATTCCGAGGAGAATGCTTGTTTTGAGGAAGATATACTAGCAGCCATAGATGATGCCATTGGTGATAAAGTTGACGTGCTGAGTATCTCCCTTGGCCTTGGGAGTTCACAACCTCTTCCTATAGAGAAAGATCCTATAGCAATTGGAGCTTTAATGGCGGTGAAAAACAATATTGTTGTCGCATGTGCAGCTGGAAATGCAGGTCCAGCCTGGGAAACAGTGTCCAATTACCACCCGTGGGTTATAACAGTTGCTGCTAGCTCCATCGATCGTGATTTTCTTCGGGCTGTTATTCTGGCAAATGGCGTCGCAGTTATAGTAAAGAATTTAAATTATTTTTAACGTGTTGCGATTGCTTGATTTCTTGTTCATGGTTGTGTTTGTTTTAATTATTCTTTTCTTTTGGAACGAATTAATTTTAGGGACGAACAGCCACTCCTAATTACGAGCTTGATGATCAAAATAGAACACTAGTATATGCAGCAGATGTGGTTGTTCCCGGAGTTGACAAGAATTTAGCAGCGTAATTTTTACACCTAATTTTTATTAGTTCAAATTAAATTTTGTCACACACTATGTAATACAATTGTTTATTAATAAATATTGCAGAAATTGCCTCCCTGGTTCTCTTGCACCTGAGAAAGTAAAAGGAAATATAGTGGTGTGCATGGTAGGGACTATAGAATCGAGAATTGCGCAGGGGATGGAAGTGAAGAGAGCGGGAGGTGTAGGTTTAATTTTAGGAAACCTTCCAGTAATGGGAGATAGAGCAGTATACGACACTCATGTTCTTCCAGCAACTGAAGTCTCCTCCTCCGATGTGCTAAAAATTATTCAATACATCAGGTCTACCAAGAATCCACAGGCAGTTTTATTCAATAAAACAATGACAATGTTATACGGGGTAGCACCCAACGTGACTTCCTTCTCTAGCAGAGGACCTAATCCCTTTGATCCTAATATTCTCAAGGTAATATAACTTCGGAAACTGGCTTTGCTTATATCTATTTTACACTGTTAAGATTCACTCTTTGTTTCACTATATTCTCTAATTTTAATTTTTTTCTTTACAGCCTGACATCGCGGCTCCAGGATTGAATATATTGGCAGCGTGGAGCGAGGGAACATCAGTTTCAGGAGATGTATTTGATAACCGTAATGTCACTTATAATTTACAATCAGGAACTTCTATGGCTGCCCCTCATATTGCTGCTTCAGCCACACTTATTAAAGCTTTGCATCCTGATTGGAGTAGTGCCGCCATAAGATCCGCCATTATGACCACAGGTAAACTTAAGAGAAAACAGCTTAATTATACGAAAATAGTCATTTCGCGGATGTTTTACATTAAAATGATACATCTTATCTTGCAGCCTCAATGATAAACAACCAAGGCTCGTCAATAACTGATGAACATGGCAATCTTGCCAGTCCTTTTATGATGGGATGCGGGCAGTTCCGTCCTGTAGAGGCAGCAGACCCTGGTCTTATATACGACGCCTCATATGATGACTACCTTCATTACATTTGCAACCTCGGCGGATCCACTGAAGCAATTGATCCATCATATAAGTGTCCACAAGAACCATCGTTCAACCTCAATTATCCATCACTTGCTATTCGTGGTCTTACAGGCACTGCAGTTGTTAACAGGAGAGTTACTCATGTTGGCAGTGTTGCCAATACTGTGTACAACTTCATTGCGAAACCACCAAAGGGAATCACTGTAGATGCCACTCCAAATGTTTTGCGATTTCAGCAAGTTGGCCAGATTTTAAGCTTCACACTTACAATAAGAGCGGTAGCTGGAAGCGAGTATCTGAAATCTAACTATGGCTTTGGCTCGTACTCTTGGACTAGTGGTAATCTAAGTGTTGTAAGTCCCATGGCAATATCTTTAAAATAATTTTTCTTACAGAAGCATAGGGACGTATGAAACCTTTAAAGGTTGGAATAATTTTAAGTAGAGGTATGGGTAAATGTATTCTTCTTTCGTATATTTGAAAAATAAATAATAGTATAATTATAAATTTTTATACAAACTAATATATTATAGTATTTAGTAGATTATTTAAAACTATATATATATATAATGAGTAATGACATTTATAATTAAATTATAAGTATACAACACACAAATCAAACATCAAAACTAGTCGAAATAGTTCTAAAAGTTCTAAACATAATAATATAATCCATTCATAATTAATATTTGTAAAGATATTTTCACATTATTATTATTATTATATTTTTGCCTATCAAACTGCCAAGGTTCACAATTTTTTTTGTTAACTGGGGAAAATTATGCCATAGCAACCCACTGTCCTAACCTTCCAGGTAATCCTCGTCCTTATCATTGGACTGCCCATTAACAAACTTCATGGCGAAAAGTTTCAGTTAAGAGTTCTTTTTCCTTGAAATGGTGTATGGTGATAACAATAAGCAAATATGTTGATCAGTATATACATGGACCTTAGAGAGAGGCTATTGGTTTGGTCTTATCAGCCTCGTAATGTAAACCCAATTTCACCCTGCATCTTTTGTGTGGACTTCTTTTTGGGTTGGGGACTATAAGATTGTACTGGTTCATTAGCTGTAAGCTGTTCACAACAATTTGGCGTTTGGAATATATAATGCATAGTGACACTATAATAAATTTTCCCAAAACGGATATTTTTCTTGCTGAGTAATGGTTATTTTCAAGAGCTGGGCACTATGAGGAATATTTACAAGTCTTCGTTCTGGTTTTCAGCATTCTTTGTTTAGGCATTAATTATATATCACCTTTATTTGCATGACATTATACTATAGATGTTAATAGCCAGAAAAGTATCTCTCTCCAAATCAGTAGAATCTGTATAGCATTTTGGTGTATGGCTGGCTATAATATGTAGCGATAGAGTAAACCAATTTCCAAAATGGAACAGCCCACGGTTTTGACAATTTGAAGGGGTTTGTGTTTTTTGTTCTTTTGCAGTTGGATATTCTATCATCCCTTGTCTTATATATATGTATACATTATAACGTATGCATCTAAAAGAATAAAGAGGTTTACATTTATGTCAATGGCATGAAAGATACATCTAATAAAGAAGAACATGAAGACAGATGAGTTGAAAAAGAGAGGAGGTGTCTTGATACGTCGGATACGTAGCGATTTATATATACAGTGACTACTAAATCCATAAAATGCATGGAATTTGCTATTGCTCTCAACTCTCAACGTAGATGTGTAGGAATTAAATAATCTGGAAGGGGTATTTATGTAATTCAACAGTTTAGTTGTAACACTTTTAGCTTATTTTAGCTGGTTTGTTAAGTTGTTAATCTGTCAGTATTAATTAGTTGGATTAGTTGCTTAATTAGTTAGTTAGTGAGTAATGAGTTAGCTAAGCTTTGTATATAAAGTCTCTGACAAATAAATAAAAGTCAAGAGCATTATTCAGAAATTTTTCTTTTCCTCTGTTCGTACATGGTATCAGAGCAGGAAAGATACTTTTTCTTCTGAATCTTCTTTGAGCTCTTGAAGCTTTGCTTTACGGATTGATTACTCGACATGGTGAGAGAGTCAAGTAATATTGGAGCTGGAGAATCCCCAGCAAACTCCAACGAAAGTTCAGTTTTTATTTTTATGGGACCACAATAATAATTAGACCTAGGCATTTTGGATTTGTCCCAAAAACCCAACCCAAAGGACTGGTCTTAGGACCGATCCTTGTAGGCTTGGTCCCAAACCAGGCTAGGCCTATGGGAGGACGGATCGATCCCTTAATCGGGTCCTCCTCCAAGGCCCGAGCCTGGGACCGGTCCCAGGCCTAGGCCCAAACCCCTTTGCTTAATTTTTAAAAAGTCCTCTATAAAATATCCAAAAACCCCTTGAAAATTTTGAAATTGATAAAAATATTAAAGGTTAAATTAATATTTTGTTAAAAAAAAAAAAAAAATTAATACAGCACATGACCGTTGGTAGCCAACGGTCATGTGCTTAGAGGGGGGATTTTTTTTTTTTTTTTAATTCCCCCCAAGTCCTACACTATAAATAATCCCCCACACTTCTAATTTTTTTTCACACCAACTCTCAATTTCTCAACTCCAATCCAATTCTCATTCATATTTTCTTCAATTCAATTTATATCTATATTTATAATTTATTCATATAATTTATTTATATTATTCATTTTTTTCTATTTTTCATATCATCTTTATTCATTTTTTTTTTTTTTCATTTTATCATAAATTCATAATGGAAGGGCTAAATAAGTTATACGTTCCATCAACCGAAGAAATGGAAAGGTTCGATCCATTTTCACCCTTTCCAAAGGCACCAGCTACAATTCAATGACAATAACCACATTTAGCCGGGACGGGGTGCAACCAAACACAAGCGAGCTACGACTCTACGGCCCAACCCCCTGACCGTCAAAGAGGATCATGTCCGATGTATGATGACACTTCACCAAATCAAAACGGGAAAAGGCGAATGGGGAGGGGGAAAAATTGTGCGGGGTATGTAATTTCTGTGGAATTGTTATCAGCATTGAGAATGGGACTTCGACGATGCAACGACATCTGGAGAAGAAACAGCTCCAAATAATGTAGTTGTCCGGTTCATCTTCAATCGAACCAGGTAGGCAAATTCAAACTCAACTTAATTTTAATCCACAATCCTCAACTCTATCAACATGGCAATACAATGCACTCCAAGCACGAGAGAAAACAGCAAAATACATAGTTGCTATGGACTCTCCCCTTTCTTTATCTGAAAATGTTTTTTTTTTCATTCACTTGATTAAAACTGTATTTTGTCCAGATATACCCCTGTTAGTAGAAGCACAAGTAGAAGAGACATACTAAAACTTTATAAGCAAATAAATATTCAACTTAAAAACAAATTTCAAAATTTTAGCAATATATCTGTTGCACTTACTTCAGACATATGAGTTTGTAGATTAAAAACATATTTCTTAACTGTCATAATACATTACTTAGATCATGGTTGGGGTTTACAACAAAAATTGATAGGTTTTAGACCATTATATACTACAGATAATGCTGACACTATTTATTTTACAATACTTGAAATTTTGCAAGAATATGTATTGATTGATAGAGTTGTAGTGCTAACGCTAGATAATGTAGCTACTAACACTGCGACTATCTCTTTATTTGAAAAGAGATTGGATCCGCGTGGTGAAGGCAATTTTTTTCACCACAGATGTGCTTGCCACATTATCAATTTGATTGTTAAAGCAGGTTTAGAAGCTATAAATTCAAAGATTGAGAGGGTGCAAGCGGCTGTTGGATTCATCATTGACGGTAGCATCAAAAGATGGCAAGATTATGTCAAATATTGTAAGCAAGAGGATCCACTGGTTTGACCTTTGAAGTTATGTACAGACATGCCTATCTGTTGGAACTCCACCTACTTGATGTTGGAGAAAGTTTTGCCAACCGCAAGACAAATTACAGATTTTGTCAATCGGAAGAATTCGTAAGAAGTTGTTAGCTATGATGATTGGACGGTTTGTGAACTTATTAATTAATTTCTTAAAGTTTTTTATGAATTCACTAATACATTAAGTGGTATCTATTATCCTACTACTAATTTAGCGTTAAATATTTTACTTCAAATTTCTAAAACTTTTGCTAAATATAGATATAATGATGTCTTAATGGAAATTATTTCAAAGATGGAAAAAAATACAAAAATATTGGTTAGATGTTCCATTCTTATATGGATTAGGTCTTGTTGTAAATCATAGGTTTAAATTACATGTAGTTAATTGTATAGTTATTAAGATAGACTAGTATTTAGGACATGATTATACATATTATTTGATTAACTTTAAGCAAAAATTGAAAAGCCTTTTTTCTTTATATCAGAGCAGGTACAATGGAATTGGAACGTTCAGCAGAGACAACCAGCAAGACCCTAATGAAGACAACTATCAAGAATCGAGCATGTAGACATATATGAAACATGGCGGCAAAAGTAGCAGCTCCAGCTCATACATACATGGACCAAATGAGCTAAATCACTACCTACAAATGGACATGTTCTACATGACGAAGAAGGAGAAACATGAGATGGATGTGTTTCAATGGTGGAAACAACATAATAGTCGATTTCCCATTGTAGCCCAAATGGCACGTGACATTTTATCTGTGTTGGTTTTTACTATTGCATCCAAGTCAGCATTTTCAATGAGTGGTTTGATTGTTGAAGACAGAAGATGCTCTTTAACGAATGAGATAATTTACGGGGTTGGACTCATGTAGTGATAATACTACATAATACTACAACAGCACCCTGAAGATCCCAAACTACTCGAACTCTTCAGGAACACAGATTTGAACGATGTAAATATTGTTGACGATGAATAATTTAATAAAAACAAATTTATTTAATTGTTTATTTGTGAAGTGTGAATGTGTGATTGTGTGAATATTACATTTATGTTAAAATTAATTAATTAAATTATATCTTTAAAGTTTAAATTTAAATCCCCATATTTATAAATAATCATTAATTAATTATTTTTTTAAAGTAATTAAAAATTTACTAATCTCTCAGGGGTGGAAATAAATTTTTCAGGCCCTTAAAAATTACATTTTGGCCACAAATATAAAAAACATTGGGGGGTGAACATAAATTTTTTAGGCTCATAGGACCAGTCCATGGGCCCATGATCAGTCCTAGGGACCAATCCGGGTCTTGAAATTTCTCATGGGCCTAGGACCGGTCCCAGGCCCATGAGCGACTGGTCCCAAATAGGACCAGTCCCGTTGGGACTGATCCTAATCGAGCCTAGATCCAGGCCCGATTGGGGCTGGTCCCTACCCAAGTCTAATAATAATACTCAGATATTCATAGTATGGGGATGTGCCATCACTAACATGGAAATG